ACTTTCCATTCGAGTCAAGGGAAACCAGTCTTGCTGCTACCCCAAATAGTTCAGGGCTGTAGCACATTCGGGGCATGTGCAGGGGAATCCATTTTGGCACCAAGTTCGGCAATCATTTTCAAATGTCCATTTCGGTGTTTCACTTTGTGATTGTAGTTCCTTGGTATGCTTCAGCTCTTGCTGCTTCTTTTTTTTTCTTTTTTTAGCCTATGCCAACCCTAAGATGTGAAGATACCCAAATGCATTCTGACAGGGCGAGTGGTGTGATCACTGATTCAAGAATAGTTTTGTCATATTTGGGAAAGCCAATAGTGCAATCATTCTTGCCTTCCCTGTCAGGTGACTCAAAAAAACGGCGAAAAAGTTAGGCAGGTGGCTTTCATTCATATTAACCTTGATTTTCTGTTTCCCCCTGTTAGAAAGTTTGGATCGCACATGCAGCTGTTTGTGCATTACAGCGGATTTCAATATTTGACTTACAAATTTTAATTTATTCTTTTGTGCAGGATCCTCAGTTGTTGTAGGGCGCTTCTTGACATCTGTGCCGTGGGGTATGGTGGCGGATCAGTATGGTCGGAAGCCTGTTATGGTCTTCGGTAATTTTGCAGCGTGAGTCATCTTATTGCCACCTGTCCATAGTATTTTGCACCTTTTCTAACTTTTGGGGTACCTGGACCACTGATGTTTTCTGAAAGAAAAGAGCTGAGAAAAACTAGTGACTGTTCTTTTGTCTATCTGTTGGCGAAAAGTTGGGCGATCCTTTTCCAGGTCTATCATAGCCTTCTGGTGTCCAAGAGGCAAAAGCCGCACAACGGCCCAACTCGCTGAGGGTTTAATTCGTGACTCTCGCTGCTCCAATTTTCAACCAGTTTTGGTGACTGCAAATGAAGCTTAGTGCAAGGAAGATGAGCAATAGCGAACTTCAGCAACCAAACAGCATCATACACATTAGACCAGATAGTCGTGACCCCGAACCAAAAGAAGAGAATTGCATCACGAGTTTCACCAAATAAGAGCACACCAATAGCTCATAATTGACAATGCTGGAATAGTCTCATGACTCTCATCATCAT